AGTGTTTTCATCCTCCCAGGCAATTTTTAAACTGAAATCCCTGATGGGTAGAAGACTCAGTTGGTATGCGGGAGCTAATCCAAACTTCAAGTGCGTGTTCCGGGTCACCTTCAACTATACCAGCACCGCCCCAAGGTATACCCTACCTTATTGATATTTTGTACTTTTTTAGTGATATATACTGTACCCTGATATCGCTCCCCACCAAGGTCCTAATTTGCAGTTGTAAGTCGTAGGTAGCGGAGCGGAAGAAAAACTAAAATATACTTGAATTTGGGCTAACCTGCTGAAGCAGGAAAAGTGAAACTCTCGAAATGGAGACGCTAATTAGACTGCAAGGGAAAGGCAGAAAAAACACCGTTGGATTCCTGGTTGCTGGGCAGTTTGATTCCTAGGCAAATTCGTTTGAAATTTCCCAGGAGAAAGTAGACTACAGTGGAAGGAGAGTACACAAATGAGGAACCCAACAGCTTCTGACGCAAAACTTGTACAAGTTTGTTATTTGTGGCCAACTCTTTCTTTATATATGTCGACGGGGGGGGGGGCGGGGGCATTTTGCACGACCATTTGCGTTCCCTAGTTCCGATTTACAAATCTCATCCTGGTAAAACTTGTGAACCCTTGTAAAGCTGGTGCATGATCGTCTAGCCACCATCATAAAACGTGTCAACTCGAGAAAAGGCTACCTAGATGGGTCGGCACATCTATGGAAAGCAGAATGTCCCCCGTCGACAAACTGCGCCCGGGCTTTTGATTTTCTACAGGGGGGCCAAAAAAAAAATAAGTCATTACGCGGCCGAGTGTCAGCATATGAGCGAAGTTCGCAGCCCCAGACAGAGGAAGTGGATATGAGTACCAGGGCGGAAGATACCCAAGATCTTCCTCTATAAGCAGGAGCCGGCTGCCGCCATTCACCTTCATGTACACCAAAATATGAAGTCATCTCCAGTCGCGGCCTGAGTGGAGAACGCCTCGTCCGCCTTTGGATTCACGTGGCCTCCCAGAACAGCTGCGGAACTTTCTTGAATGGACTTCACCCATCGGACAGCTAGCCTGAGACGAAGCTAGCTCTTGGATCTTGGGCAAGGACCTCAAACATCGAGGCAGCTCCGGCAACGTCGCTACGGTCCAGGACATCATCTTCACCCCATTCACCAAGGCGCGGGTTGATGGTGTGGACCGGCCGTACCTGGAATGGGAAGACCGATATTTTCTTTGTAGACCCCGACTGAAGGTGAGCGCTGGCGGTTACATCAAGTAACTCGAGAAGGATATCCTCCCTACATGTGGTCGCCCGTACCTTCTTGGAGACCTTGTGCTGCTACAGGTTTGGGTGCCACGCACATGGAATGCGAAGTTGATTTATTGGAAAACTGCCCCCGCCCTCCCTTCCGAATGAGAAACCGGCGTTCGTACCTGATGACGATGTAATAAACAATTTAACCCATATGCTCCCCCTGACCTGAACCCACTCAATTACCTAGTTCGGGCGGAGCTCAACAGGGTGGTCTACAGTGGCGGAGAAATCAACGATCCCGCCGAACTCCGGTACCCACTCACTTTTCGCGGCCGGGACCCGCCGGAATCTCTCCAGATGGCGGCTCCTCCCACGAAGGCTCGCTGGACGCCCGAGAGCAATGCGTTAATACAGTATCTTTAATGTGCTCTTTAATATGGTAGTAAAAATGTCCGATAAAAATTTAAAAAAGTGTAACTTATAGCGCCTTGAAAGTCATGGAGAAAAAATGACTTTTTTTTTTTCTTGGGGGCCCCCCCCCTGTATATGTACATCGCGCGAGACAATATCTAACTACACAGCGATTTTGATGGAAAGTGCACCTAGCTTAACTTAAAATCCGCTTTTCTGATTATCTGAAGTAAGGTGAGATATAATTGAAGATTATCACACCGCCGCTTCGCTATCATGACCCCTCAAAATTCATCCCGTAGCTTTGTGCGAAAGACGCGCCCACTACACCCTATACGGGCGGTTTCATATGTTTTTTCGCTCTCTGCTCAAACCTCAGTCTTGTATTCCATAGTTTATTGTTAGAAGGACTCGCATGTAGTCCAGTTATTGTGTTTCGTACCTCAAAACATACCGTGCGATTTCACTTACTAAAAATAACCTATCCTAAGCAGGGACTCGCCAAGGATCATGCGCAAGATGGGCCTTCTGGAAGACTTGTAAACCTTATTTCTTTTCTAGATAAAAACATCGCATCACAGGGAAATGCAACTAATTCCAATCTTCCCTCACCAGAGTGAAGCGTCCCGTCGAATATCGACATGGGGGCCTTACGTTACTGGCAGGGAAGAGTAGGTCATATATGCAGGTGTCAGCATGAACAGAGCAGTGGCAACACTTCTACTTTTGGGCCTCGCCGGAGCGACGGTATTGTCCGTCGTGTTTGCTAAGATCATTATATACACTATTCAGTGAATATGATTGATCCACGACGTAGTTGTAAAAATTGGCCTCAATGTGCCTGCATTATGATAAAAAATTCGGTGGCTCAGAGAGTTGTTTGATCCATTTAGGTCCACCATGAGGTCTGTTCTTTTGGCAGACGCATTTCACAGTGTATATATCTCCATAGGTCTAGTCAGTTCATTGAACGTCGGCTATTGTCGGCGTGAGGAGGGGCGGGATGAGGCCCGCCTTCGTGCCTGCTGACCAAAAGAACCAGCGGCGGAAGCGCCGCGGATAGCTTCATTTCAGCCATCATAGAACCACCCCGACTATATGGGAAGTTACCAACTGTGTATTTCTATAAATGTCACCGTGATGAAAAATGGAAGAAGAATGCATGGCTCATTCCATAGAGATGTTGCTCGGCGCCGCTGTGCTGCAATTCCTATTTACCTCATATGATAGAGGGGTACAGAAAGCTTTCCAAGGTTTCTGGAATAAGGGTAATGTATAGAAGGATCCTATAGCTGCAGATGAAGGTAACTTCTGGGCTGTTCCGGTTGGTCTTCCCTTTCTTTTTCCTTTGTCCTTGTGTCTTTCCCACGCACGTCTGCCACGTTCTTCTATGACTTGTTCTTTCTTTGAGCCTGGGTGAGGCGTCCTCTTCTGCCCAGTCTTTTCTTGACTAGTGAGTAAGTGAGAGCAGGCAAATTTGAGTTTGGACCCCGAAACCTACGGGTTGGAAGTGAGAAATGTGTCTCTGGACTTTTTTGTCATCTTTTTCTAGATTCCTCTAGGAATACGTTGATTCTGCTTTCCCTTGCCCTACCGTAGCCGTCCCTACTTCGGTGG